AGCAAGTACCTTTACTAACTGAGTCAGTTCACACACACCCTCCCCACTTATTCTCTGGAAGTTACTTTTTTCTGCCACATATTGGTCCTAATCTTTACATCACTCAGGAGAGTATAAACTTTCTTATGAAAACATGGAAAGCCAAGCATGGCGACAACACACTTGCAATCCCAAAACTCAGAAGGTGGAGGCCGATGGAGGAGGATCAGGGGTTCAAGGTCATCTTCTGCTGCATGGTGATTTTGAGGCCATACCTAGGCTACACAAGACTTTATCATGAAAAAAAAAAAGGGAAGGAGAGGAGGGAGGGAGGGAAAGATAAATGATTTATAAGTAGATAGATAGATAGATAGATAGATAGATAGATAGATAGATAGATAGATAATAGATAGGTAGATAAATGGATGGATGCATGGATGGATGCATGGAAGAAAGTTTTGATGACCCTGTCCACACTTCTCAGAACTACTGTTGTGTGTTTTGTCTGTCTTGAAGGATAGTACACATTGAGTAGTGCTTCTTAAATTTAATTATCAAAGTATTCTTTTCTCTTTCTCATATATAATGTTTCAAGGGACTGTCAGAGTATCAAGGGACAGTGGGACTCCCTGAATGCTGCTCAGGAAATGCCAAGTGAGAAACAGTAGGTTAGAGGTAAGAGCTATGACACACAGGCAAAAACCACAGTGATGAAGAATGACAGACTGAGAGAATGTGGACGTTTGAATGTGGCTGGCCCCCAGAATCTCACAGCGAGCGGCACTATTAGGAGGTGTGGCTTTGTTGGAGTGGGTATGGCCTTGTTAGAGAAAGTGTGTCACTGTGGGGGGAGGGGCAGGCTTTGATGTTTCCTATGCTCAGGATACTGCCCAGTGTCTCAGTTGACTTCCTGTTGCCTGCAAGATATAGGACTCTCAGCTACATCTGCCTACATGCTGCCATGCTCCCAGTCATAATGATAAATGGACTGAACCTCTGAAACTATAAGCAAGCCACCCCAATTAAATGTTTTCTTATAAGAGTTGCTGTGGTCATGGTGTCTCTTTACAGCAATAAAAACTCTAAGACAGAGGAAAAGAGAAAGAAGTATTTATAAATACAAGAAATGCCAAACTTAGCTCTCTGCAATCCTGAACACAGAAGGCAGTAGCACCTTAGCATTTCACTGATGTTAAATTGAGGGGGTTCCTGTAGGTATCCTACAGGGAAGCCAACTCCACAAAGAGAAAAGAATGAAAACCTAGTGCAGACTGACTTCGTCAGCTTGGATCAGACTTGGGGGAGTCTAATAACAGACAGCTTATTCCCAATGTATTTAAACCCAGTACAATTTGAAAAAAGTTCCCTCATGTAATACGATCCCCTTTGCATGAGGAAGTGGAATTACACTGAAACTCAACTCGGTGTACATGTCATTTCCGCCAAGAAGATGGGTTCTAAGGATACCCTAGCTGTACCAGCCTAAGGGCATAAGGTCCAGTCTGGTCTCGGACATACAGATAGCATGGAGGTCATTTGGGCTATTAGCCACCTCTGGTCCTGGTTGTGGGAGCTTGGGGGAGCCTATGGCCAGAAGGGTCATTCAGATTACTAGCCAACTCCTGTCTCTGTTGTAAGAGCTTGATATGGCCTGGCCCAACAGATAACACAGATCACCAGGCAGTTAATCATTTCCAATTCTTAGCTTTCTAGATGGAAAAACAGGTTTTTCATTTTTCCCATTGGAAAGACAATCCTGTATGCTTAACATTTCTGGTTTCTCTGGAGATCTGTGGGTTCAGTGATCTTCGTGCTATGCTCCCAACATTAAATGTCACCACTAAATTGTTAAGAAAAGAGACTTAAAACAATAGATTATCCTGAGGCACCAGAAATGGTTTCCATGGTGACCCGATGCTCCAATGAAATGGAAGACCATCCTTGCAGATTTCTTTCAACACACTTCTGCCTGCAGCAACTCCAACAGTACCTGTTTCAGCCGGTTTCTTTGTGCCCTGGTTTGGGATAGGTTTAGTTGGGTTGGGACTGGCTGATGGACAGACTAAATTAGGAGATGAGAGAAAAGGAGGAGATGGGAGGTCTGGGTATTTATGTTCTCAGTTCTTCTGCTGTAGGGTCAAAATGGGCTGGCTCTGACCCTTAGCTACAGATTCCACTCCTGTTGAGTGGCCCCCTCCATGAAAGTCTCCCACCACAACGCAGTGATCACTCCCCTGCACTGTCCCTGGCGACTCCTTCACCTGTCCACACCCTTAGGAAAGGTACTCTCATTAGATTCCCCTCAACATACGCAGCTGGCTTAGACCATCATAGCACTGGGCAGTGGTCTCAATACCAAGAACAACCCAGGGAGGAGGCTGCCTTAGGGCAGACCCAGAACTGAGACTGTAGGGAACCTTTTGAAAGTCGCATGCTAACAAACACAGAAAGGGCTACCACAGAGCACTAAAGCAAGCAGAGACATCTAGACCAAGCATCACCACAAAGCAAAGTTCCAGAATTTCTATGCTCAAGCAGAAAAGTCACCGATGAACAACGATTTTACATATATGTGTTTATATATAAAGTTATATTTTATTTTTAATTATGCACATGCATTTGTCTGCGTATGATGTATATGTGAGTGCAAGTGCCTATAGAGACCAGAAAAAGGTGTCAGAAAAAGCCCAAGTTACAGGTAGTTATGAGCCACCTAACACAGGCTTCCAAAACCCCATCTTCCAAAAAAGCAGTGTACATTTTTAACCACTGAGCATCTTTCCAACCCAAGAAACATACTTTTTTTTTCTTCCAAGACAGGGTTTCTCTGTATAGCTTTACACCTTTCCTGGAATTCATTCTGTAGCCCAGGCTGGCCTCAAACTCACAGAGATCTGCCTGCCTCTGCCTCCCAAGTGCTTGGATTAAAGGCATGCACCACCACCACCACCACCACCACCAGTCTTTATTTTTAAAGTCAAAGCCAATCCTGTTCACCAGTAAGTGTGACGTCATTCCTCTGAAAACCCTCCCGTACCTCTTTTGCAGATGCTAGGGTAAAAGGCATCAGGAAACACCGTCCCAGCCTGATAGGCGTCCTGGTGTTCTAAGAGTAGCTGAGGAACGAGAGAATGCAGACATTAGAGGGCAGGGACCAGCAGGCTGGGAGAAGTCAGCCCAGTGCTTTTGTAGCTATGAGAGTCTAGAACCACAATGGACAAGGGCAGCATGAAGGGAAACGTGGGCAGGAGCAACTGTTCAAAGCCAGAGTACAGTAGGTAGCATATAAAACTTCAGGCCCTTTCCTACATAACAGGCCTATTTAGAAAGCAGCAAAACTGCCTGTTTAAATGTTACCATCTTTCATTTTCTATTTTTGTTTCTCTAATGGAGTAGAATCCCCCTAAGACTATTTTAAATTTTTATTTCTCTATATGTTTTGGTTTTCTGACACAAGATCTCCTGTAGCCCAGCTGGCCTGAACTTGTTATGGAGCCAAAGATGACCTGGAACTCCTGAGCCCCTTGCCTCCATCTCCGAAGTGCTGGGGTTACAGGCTTGTAACAACCACCATACCCTGCCTTCCCTAAGACTAGTCAGCTGATCCAAAATTGCTTTAGGACAAGACTTTTAATGATCTACAGTGAAATAAGAAAAATAGACACACACACACACACACACACACACACACATACACACACGCCTGTGATTTAACACAAATGTATAAGTAGCAACAACAAACTGCTGTGTGCATGTGCAGGGTTATATCTCATGGGCTTTAGTTCATCCTTCATCCTTTCCTTCCTCCCTCCTTCCCTCTCTCCCTCCCTCCCTCCCTTCCTATTTCTATTTTCCCTGTGCTTTAGAGAGTTACAAAAATATTCTTTCCCTTTGAAAATGATGTGACAGCGAAGAGCAGGGTCTTTCTCTAGAACGTCTTTGTTGAACTTTCTGCAAGCTCAGACCAGAGGCTAAGAAACAGACTGAGTCTCCAGCGTGCTTGGCATGGCCCCAGCTCTGCCCTGGAGCCCTCCTGCTTCTCCCACTAGCCTGGAAGCCTGCAGGTTTTCTGCAGCAGAGATGCAGAGGCTCCTGATGGTACTCCAGCACTGCTCACAGGGACCACAGGACACCAGGTCCACCGGGAGCGCAGGCTGAGGCTACAAGGGCCTGTAACCAGTGCTCAAGATGGATTTGCGTTCTCCTCAGCAAGACTGTTGAAGTCTGTTGAATCTGCAGCTAGCCAGCAGGAGAGTTTCTAGTACCACTGTTTTGCATGTCGTTCCTGAAGGCCTTTCTAGACATTTCTAGACGCCACTGGAGCTGTTCCTCTGACTCTCACGCAGGTAGGACAGCCAGTTCCTTAGCTCCTGGCTTTTACAATTGTTTGTTTGTTTGTTTGTTTTGTTTTGTTTTGTTTTTGTTTTTCGAGACAGGGTTTCTCTGTGTAGCTTTGCACCTTTCCTGGAACTCACTCTGTAGCCCAGGCTGGCCTTGAACTTACAGAGATCTGCCTGGCTCTGCCTCCAGAGTGTTGGGATTAAAGGCGTGCACCAACATTGCCTGGCACTCCTGGCTTTTAATCCCTCTCTGTCTACGCTAGATCAAGGAGCTTCTGCAAAGGGGCCATGAAGGACACAATCCACAGTCAAGTTTGGTGGTACAATTGTTTTCTTTTTCAAAAAATAAATTTGATTTATTATTATTATGCATGTGTGATATGGATGTGTGTGTGTGTGTGCATTCACCTGTGTGGATGAATGTGTGCTACAGCACACATGTGCAGGTAAGAGGGCAACTTTCAGGAGCAAGTTCCCTCCATCCCCATGGATCTAGAGCTCAAACCCAGGTCATCAGCCTTGGTACAGAGTGCCTTTACCCAGTGAGATATATCACCAGCCAGACAATTGGACTTCCACTTAAAAATCATAAATAGCAAGATATAGAGACAGTTCAGTGGTTAAAGGCTCTTGTTGACCAGAGTTCAATTCCCAGTACCCCCAACAGGAAGCTCACAATTGCCTGTAACTCTAGCTCCAAGAGATCTGATGCCCTCTTATGGCCTCCACAGGCATGTGCTCATATGTGGCTGGCACACACACACACACACACACACACACACACACACACACACACACTCATACACATAAATTTTTAAAAAGCATAAATAATCGTAGCAACTTCTGGTTTAGGAGTTTGATGTGTGTTAAGCCTTTCTTACACATCAAGGGGAAGGTAATCATTATAATAAGCCATTATCAGACATAGGCAACTAACAGATGAGGTAATAGAAAAATTTCTACTCTCTTGAAATATATTGAACCTTATTAATAAGTTAATAATTAAAAGGCCAAGTTAAACCTAGAATGAAATACCCTTTTGTGAGACAGGGTCACTCCTAACCCAGGCTTGCTTTGAGTTCACTATATAGTCAAAGGAGGCCTTGAACTGTCTTCAGCCTCCCAAGTGCAGGAATGGCAGGTGTTTACCACCCTGCCCAGCCCAATTTTGCTGGCAAGGGGGAAAAGAATAAAAAATAAACCATAAAAGCAAAACCTCCATCAAATCTGAATATTTACCAAAATTTCCCAGTAAAACACAAAAGGAATTAAGGCTGTTTGTGTGTATATGTGTACTATGAAGTACATATACATGAATGTGATTTTTGTTCATGCTTCCTGACTCAGACCTTCCTCCAAAAGTGGAATGTAAAAACTAGAGTTTCCCTGCCCCAGGTAGGTCCCATAAACTCTAACTTAAAGGTGGGGACATTTTGGCCTGAGTCTAGCCCTAAAGAAATGTTACCCTGTCTGATAGGAAAGGACAGTTGAGCAATGCTTGCTGGGCTTTCCCGCCCACGCTAGGAATGTTAAATCAGACTCATTGCTGATGCTGTCCGGCTTCAGGCCACACAATGACACCTCCATAGAATTCCAGAGGACAAGGCTACATTTTATGGACAGCTGGGCACAAAAAAAGCTTGAAAGAATGTAAACAATACCTCATCCTGAACCAGAGAGATGGCATGCACCTCCCCCGAAAACACACACAAGATAGATAAATATAATAATAATAATAACAACAACAACAACAACGTATTTAAGGAACTCATTGTGAAACTAGGAGTGGGGGAAGCCCCAACTCAATTGGGGGAAAGTGCTTGTGTTTGGGACCTTTTTCCAGAACTTGCTGCATGCTGTGAGAGCCAAAGTTACATTTTAAGTTTTAGTTACTATGCCTTAGAGATCCATGAAACAAAAAGATGCCTCTGATCTACAAGGCCCTTGCCCAAAGACATATAGTTCCTGAAATGCTGGAGGCTACTGTTTATGGGAGATCACAAACCACATGTTCCTGAAATGCTGGAGGCTGTTGTTTATGGGAGATCACAAACCACATGTTCCTGAAATGCTGGAGGCTGTTGTTTATGGGAGATCACAAGCCACATGTTCTCACTCCCCTAAACAAGTTTGTTTGCCCCATCTGCACCAGATGTGCTGGATCACCTGCGGGCGGGACGTTCACAGGCAGGAAATAAGTCAGGGTGTGCACTTGCCCCTGACTGGATATAAGCTGGAGGTACATCAGGATGTATGCTTGCCCCTGATAGGACCTCATGGGAAATTCTTAAGCTGCTGTAAAACTTTATTTGGGGCCATTTTTTTTTCTGGGAAAACAAAGATGGACCTGGCCAGTATTTAATTAAAGTTTGCTTCAAATTTGGCTTTAAACTGTGGTAGTGGTCTTATTCTCGATTGGTGGAATTAACAACGCCTGTCTATCCACCTGCCTTTCTTTTTACATTTAGTTATTTGTGCATGTGTGCCATAGTCCATAGGTAGAGGTCAGAGAGCAATTTTCAGAAGTACATTTTTCCCCCCTTCCATTGTCTGGGGTCTAGGGACCAGATTCAGGTTGGCAGGCTCAGCAGCCACCACCTTTACCTGCTGGCCTAGGTCTATCTATAGTAAGATATCTTTGTCTAAGCCTCCTTCTTCATCTTAGAGAATAGAGTGAAGGTCTCACAGGGTCTAGGGACCAGATTCAGGTTGGCAGGCTCAGCAGCAACCACCTTTACCTGCTGAGCCATCTCATCAGACCAATGGACTGAGTCAGTTCTGATGTCGCAAGAGATTGCTAACCACTGCTATCAATGTTAGTCTTTAAGACTCATCTTTGCCACAGAATGTTAAGTATTATATTGTTATTGTTATTATTATCATACAACCAGTAGCAGTGCATAGGGACACAATGGGTTAAACTGACTTCAGGATGGGCACAGGTGACCCGTCACACAGTCCTACAGGTGAGAGGAGAGGAGACACAGCAACAGCACACTTCTTCATAAAGACCTCCGGCTTCTGAGTTCAAGCTGAGGCTACAATTCTTATCTAGAACATGTATGGCCCTGGGTTCAGTTTCCAGTGATGATATACTCTAGACACACACACACACACACACACACACACACACACACACACACCAGAGAGAGGGGGGGGAGAGGGAGAGAGAGAGAGAGAGAGAGAGAGAGAAGGAAAGAAAGACTTCCTGCTCCTCCTTCTGATGATAAAGTTGTGGACAACACATAGTGATAAAAAGTAGAAAATGAATGAGTGATTTCTCTCAAGTAAGACCTCTCTTTATAAGAAAAAAAAATTATATAAAAATTATTTCAAGGGCCAGGGATGTAGCTTACTAGTAAAGCTATTGCCTAGCATGCACGAGGCCCTGGATTCTATACCAAATATTTCAAAAAGCAAAGAAACAACATGTTTTCAAATTATGAATTATATTACCTAAAAATTTAAATTTTTAAATGTTTAAAATTTAAATAAACATATATATTTGTATACATACATATATAATATCTGAGTGGCACTGGAGGAGATGTGCACCTTTTAACCACATTAGTTTTATAAGGATATAAGGACAACTCTTAGTATTAAAGATATGTTTAGACCTTTGTTTGGCACCCACAGAGGGAAATGTATGTACAATCAACAGAAATCCAGCTCCCTACCTCTTTGTAGTTAACGCGTCCATCTTGAAGCTGAAGAAACTCCAGAGCCCTGTGTCCTGAAAGAAACGAATACCATATGAGCTAAGTTCAATTGTACTTACCAGAGTTCATATTTTAAAAGATTTCTTTTAAATTGTGTGTGTGTGTGTGTGTGAGTGTGTGTGTGTGTGAGTGTGTCTGTGTGTGTGATTATATGTACATGAGTGCAGTTACCCATGCAATCTAGAAAAGGGCATAGGATCCCCTGGAGCTGGAGTTACACACAGTTGTGAGCCCTCCAGCATGGGTACTTAGACGTGAGCTTGGGTCCTCTGCAAGAGCAAGAAGCACTTTTACTTGATGAACCATCTCTCTAAGCCCGCAGAGATCATTTTTTGAGGAAAAGAGAATTTTTCAATTGCAAACTATGGAGAAAACTGGAAATAAAAAAGTAAGGTTGTATTCACTTGAGGTTTTCTTTAGTCATAACTGTTTTTGGTTGGTTGGTTGGTTGGTTGGTTGGTTGGTTGGTTGGTTGGTTGGTTGGTTTCAGACAGGGTCTCTCTGTGTAGCCCTGACAGGCATGAAACTCTGTAGACCACACTGGCTTTGAACTCCCAGAGATCCACCTGCCTCCTCCCAAGTGCTAGGATTAAACGCATCTTTCACCACATCTGGCTAAGGCATAATTGTTCCAAAAATATTTATATTATATTATTATATTAACCGTAACTGTATCAGAATACAAATCAAACTTGAATGGCTATTTAAAATTTCTTCTTAACTAACTATGACCTTGGACAAGTTACCTAACACTGTAAACCTCAGTTCCCACCTCTGAGAAATGAAAACAAAATGCTACCTTACAGGTTGGCTGAGAGAACCACAGAAAATAAATACTGAGTGAGGACAGAGTAACAGTCATTTGGGAGGAACTTGGGAAACAGAAACTGTCATAGTATTTGCCTCAGAACTGAGTAGATAAACCTAAACACAAAATACAAGAAAAACTCAAAGCATGGATAACCAATGATCCTCAAGTGCAATTCATGATTGAAATAATTCAGAAGGACAAGGTTACCTCGGAAAGTTGCCTATTCCACCCTCTACACACAGACACATAGAGATCCAACCTGAACCTTAGCATTAGAGAAAGGGCTGACCTTCCTGGGAACACACATTCAATGGCAACACCTTATTTCTACTGCGAATCACATTCACTTTTTTAAAGATTTATTTTTATATGTATGGGGTTCTGCCTACATACATGTGTATGCACCACATGCATATGGTGCCTTCACAGTCCAGAAGAGGGCATTGTATCCCTAAAGTATAGACAGTAGTGAGAGGTCATGTGCGTGCGCTAGGAATCAAACCCAGAGCAATCAGCTTTCTTAACTGCTGAGCCATCGCTCCAACCCTGAATCACATTCATCCTTTTTAAAATCATATATCAATTAAAAAAAAACCACTCCTCTATTGTATTCATTGACACCCTAACAATCAAGTCATAAACCATGCAAATAATCCAGACGCAGGATTCCAGTGTTTTCCCAACACAAACCACTGAACAAGGATAACTCTAATAATGAGTTGACATAAATATCAATCTTCCACTCAGGTCTCATAAGAACTGCAAAAATGAACCAGCTATATCATCTAAGTTGTTGGTAAATATAAGACGGGATTTCGGTTGCCTCTTATATGAAAAATCTTAGAATTTGTGCAGGGTTTTTTTTTTTGTGTGTGTATGTCTGTAGACATAGATAATTTTTTTTTTGAAAAGGGGTTTCACTCTGTCCCCCAAGCTGGCCTAGAACTCACAATTATCCTCCTGCCTCTGCCTCCCCAGTGCTGAGACTACAAGTATAAGCTACCACAACCTGATTAGGTATTTTTAAATATCCATTAGGATTTACCTATCCATCAGGAACCAACACAGAAACTCGAAGGGTTTTGCTTGCTTGTCTGTTTTACTCCAAAGATTTTTAAAAAGTTATTTTCATTTACCTGTGTTCCCTTTGAGCTTCTGTCACTTTAGAGTTGGAAGATCCTTCAGAATTCATTAGCTTGCCCTCTCCCAGCTTAGTGGGACACACAGGCACCATGGGTCGCTCAGAACCACACACCTAGTTTACAGCAGGGCTGTCTAATGCCGAGAGGGTCCCTTTCCCACCGTTTCCTGACTCTCTTTAGATAGCAATTTGGATAGAAAGAACAGCAGACTCACGGTCAAGACACAAGCGAGCCAGAAACGGTAGGATCCATTTCCGCATCTGCAAATCCAACTCTGCGTGTCCCTTTCACTGGTAACTGTGATCTTAGGTTCCTGCCTGCCACGGCTCAGGATCTAGATCTACTTTGCACTGGTAAGTGTTCCTACTATATCTGTAACCTTGTCTCTCTTTGTAACTAATAGAGGTGGCATAAGTATGAAATAATGTCATCCTCATTGAAATAAATGAATGCTGGGAACGTCAAACCTTCCTAAAATTAATCTTAAAATCATTGTTGAATGTACTCCTATTTTGATTGTATTATGAATTGTCTTATATTCTCCACATGTTAAAACATTTCATAAACACATTTCATAAGAAGCAAATCCCTTTGTTAGGAGAGACCCACACACACGCTTAGGATGGTAGTTATGTAAAGTGATGAGGGTTTTAATTAGATTATCAACATGTCACATCGTGTATCTTAAATTTATACAATTTATGTTTGTCAATTATACCTTAACAAAGCTAGAAAAGGTAAATCTAAAAAACCTGCCTGTTTTCACTTATCTAAATCCACTATCTATGTCCTACTTTGGTTTCTGTTTTGGAATTAAACACCATGACCGAAAGCAACTTGGGGAGGAAAGCTTTTATTGGCTTACACACCCCAATCACAGTCCTTCATGGAGGGAAATCTGGGCAGAAACTCAGAACAGGAACTTGGAGGCAGGAACTGAAGCAGAGACCACGGAGGAACAGTGCTTGCTGGCCTGTTCGCTCATAGCTTGCTCAGCCTGCTGCTGTATTAGACACCCAGACACCTCCTGCCCACAGTGAACTGAACCTGCCCCATGGATCACGAATCAAGGAAATGCAGCACAGACTTATCTACAGCCTAATCTGACGGAGGCAACTGTCAGTTGAGAGCCCCTCCTCCCAGAGCTGTCAAGGTGACAAGGACTAGCCAGCACCAGATAACCAGTGTACTCTGGATCACTCTGCCTCTGCCCCCAAGGTCAGGCACACTGGAGTGTGTGGCCTTCTCCTGCAGAACTCCTAATGCTAAGCTGGACTCCTGTAATATCAACAACCACCCAGCTTCATCAGTCCCCTTAACCTCCCTGAAGCCAAGCACCTTAATGCCCATAGGTAGCACTTAACCCCTGGGAAGTAATTTAGGTCAGTGATGGAACTGAGGGTGGACCTCAAAGCTCAAATGATGCATCATGCTCATAAGAGCCATTAACAGCCACTTGGCTCAGGGACCCACTGCCACGGCCACACACGGCCCTTCCCGTCTACCTGGAAATGCCCGTCCTTAGAAGTGCAAAAAGCAACAAAAATAATCTCACGCCCCTGCCGTAGCGCCCACCATCCTTCTCTCCTGGTCCTGTGACTTTCTTCAGACCCCTGCTGTCCTGCCAGGAACACCCGGTGGCCTAGCACAAAGGGCCTCGGCTCTCTCACCTACCTATCCCTCCACCAAGCCCACCTGCCACTTCCTAGCCCTGGACACGTCCAATCTTGCCTCTCTCTTCTCCACTGTCAGGCCATTTCCCACAGCAGGGAGAATTGTGCCAATATATGGAATCGATCTTCAATCTCTTTCTCAGGCTTACTGACAGATTCTTGTCCTTTTAATGACACACAGAGAGGGGAGGAGAGATGGCTCTGTTGTTAAGAGCACGCACTGCTCTTGACGGGGACATGATTTGGTCACCAGCACCCATGTTGGGTAGCTCATAATTGCCTGTAATTCCAGCTCCAAAGGGGTCTGATGCCTCTGACCTCCAAAGGCACCTGCATGCCTGTGCACATACCTACACACAAAAACTTAAAACTAATAATCTTTAAGAACTAACACAAAGGGCCAGGGAATGATGCAAAACACCCACAATTCCAGCATTCAGGAGAGGTAGGAAGATCCCCGCAACTTGGAGACCAGCCTGGTCTACATAGTGATCTCCAAGTCAGCCAGAGCTACATCAGGAGATCCTGTCTCTAAAACCCACGGAAAGACAGAGAGATAAATAAGGCCCAGGACTTACCTATTTCTACATGTGTTGAGAGGCCACAAGCTGAACTTCTGGAGCAGAAAAAAGACAGCAGGAGCAGCAGGCCAGACCACAGCCTGCCAGCAGACATGTTGTTATGCCTCCCCGGGCTGCTCTGCTAATGTGGAGACAATCCAAGCTGTAGCCAAACTATGACTCCAAAATCCAGACACAGACTCCGTGTGTTCCCTCCACACAGGTTACTGACACAGGAAACCAAGCCTCGTTTCAAAATAGTACTGTTTTCCAATCGAGTCCACGGATCAACCACTGTTTAGCTTTTCCAGAACAGCAAACAGACACCTGGGAGGGGAGAGAAAGCAATCTGATGGATCTACAAAGCCTGCTGATAGAGGCTTTCTCATCTCAGCCACCCAGACTTACCCTCAACACGCAACTGGCACAGCAAACCAAACTTGCCTTCAAGAAGATACTCGCCTGTGCCAGCTGATGGTCACCCTATCAGACTGCCTCCTCGTCTTGGACATCCTGTGCTCACACTTAACAGAGTTTCCTCATCCTCCCAAGCCCCAAGTGCATGCTGGGAAAGCTTTTATGGTGATCACCTAGAACCGGCTTCTCTTTTTATATTTGGCAACAGATACTGACACTTGTCTGTGTTACACAACCCCAGCCACTCCTGGCCTTCTACTCTGGCTCTTCCGACAGGACTTACCTGAGATGTGTTGCAAGGAAGGATTCCTGCAGCCCAAAGATACTGACTGCACCTGGGAGGTGGAGGCAGGAAGCAGATTAGGGCAAAGAGACAAGGGTCTGGACAATGCTGGGCTCAGAACATACTCATCCTGAAGTAGCCAGTCAGCAACAGGCAGAACAAGAGAAGCAATTCAGGTCATTCATGGACAGAAATGATGGTGATCTTAACACCCGAACGATGCATTGTAAGTGCTGAAAGCCGCCGCCGCGGCGCGATCCCAAAGGACTGGGGAAACAGCGTTCACTGTCAGGCTAAGCCAGGGGAAGAGATGAATGAACAAAAGACGGCATAATTTGAGTCGGCTGTCTGCCAGGCAGCCTTTGTTTTGTGATCTTAACTCAGCCCCATGTAACCCCCAAGAAATGAATTCTGTAGTTCTCCCCGTCTAGGGACACTGGCCCTGACTACTCATTACTTTTAAGCCATAGGCAAGAAGTCAGCGTTTTGTTTTGTTATGTTTAATTTGGCCATGAGGGTGTTTATAAACTTACACCGCCTTGCTTGCTTTTGGTTTTGTCAATGGGATCTCATGGATGCCAGAACAGCTCTGACCTTATTAGGTAGCCAAGGATGACTTTTAAATTCCAGATTCTCCTGCTTCTACCCCCCAGTGCTCTGACTGTAGTTATGAGCCAGGATACCTAGCCAGACTTAACTTTTTTAAAGTCAGTAAATTCACATATAAGTCTAGAATTTTAGCTTTCTATACAAAAGAAAATAAAACCCCAAAGAACTGACTTCCTGACTCAACATCCCTCCTGACATGACAATCAACTCAAGTGGGAACCAGTTGCTTCATCCACACAATCTGGGGGGCAGGGGGGGGGGAGTCCGCCAGACCACTCTGCCTGCAGAAGTCTGAGGTGGTCCCCCTCATTCTGATCCTGCTCAAGTCTTCAGGTGAGGTGGTAGTGACGCTACCCGGGGACTTTAGTGAACTTAGGAGCACCCAAGAGGGGCCCATCAATAACAAAAATCGGGTGTGGCGGCTGACACTGTAATCCCAGCATTCTGGAGGCTGAGACAGGATGGCTTACAGGAGTCTGAGGCTAACCTGGACTACACTGAGACCTTTCCTTAAAAACAGCAGGGCTGGCAAGATGGCTCTGTGTCTACAGCACTTGCTGCCAAGCCTGAAAGCTTGAGTTCAATACCCAGGGTGCACACGGTAGAAGTAGAGAATTGATTCCCCGCTCACATATACAAGTAAATAAATGTAATAGCAACCTTAAAACAACAAACAAAGAGAGAGCCGGAAGAGGACTGCCAAGGATCACCAGGAAAAAAAATCCTGCCTCAAAGGGCTAAGCAGATATCAGAAAACCAAGCCGGAGCACCAGAGAAAAGAATGGGTTCCATTTACTAAGCAATACTAATCTCAGATTTCTTGTGTATTTTATACATTTCAAGGTTAGAATGACTATACACACACACACAACACACACACACACACACACTGCAATAAAAAGGAAGGAATTCCTCACTTAGTACAATGTGATGGTTATGTGATAATATTGTTTTGAGTTTTTATAAAGTTTGTGTTATTTTGTAACCATGAAAACAGGATTACATGTTTCTCTTAAAGCTGTGACTTTAAGAGAAGGCTAATCTATAGTTCTCAGTATAAAGAAAACTGCCTGAAATGCTGGGGAGATGGCTTAGTCTTTAAAACACAAGCATGAGGTCCCAAGTCCCAATCCTTATCATCATGTAAAAGCCAGGCACACTACTGTGCATCCATAACCCCAGTGCTGGGGAGGCAGGGGCAGGCAGATCCCGGAAGTTCGTTGGTCAGCTAGCCTAATTAAATCTGAGCTCTAGGCTCAGTGAGAAACCACGTGCAAGTTATTAAAATACGCTTCTGCTTCTCTACGACTTGGAGATAATGATAGTTTCCACCCTATGGGCCATTGTGAACATCAGATGAGGAAATATACAATGCATTGTGGGGGAGGGAGTGTTTTGAGACAGGGTTTCTCTATGTAGTCTTGGTGCCTGTCCTGGAACTTGCTCTGTAGACCAAGCTGGCCTTGAACTCACAGAGATCCACCTGGCTCTGCCTCCCAAGTGCTGGGATTAAAGGCATGTGCCACCTCTGCCCGGCTACAATGCATTTTTCATGGAGATTAGTATACAGTAAGGATATAATATGTTCACAACTATTCTTCAGAAAGAACTTTCCCACTCAAATTCACTATGGATTTCTATTATTTTTCCTCATTGATTCTTGTTTTGTTTGGGTTTTGTAGTGCAGAGAATCAAATCCAGAGTTTCCTTCATTCTAGGCAAATGTCCTACCACTGAGCTACAGCCCAAACCCACTTATTGATTTATTTTTAATCAAGAAAAAGACTTTGCATTCAGGTAGTCAGTATAAGATCATTTCTAAAAGTTTAAATATGGATACAAAGCAAAATGGGACGGAGGCTGTGAAATGAAAGCAGGTCTTCAAGTGCAGATAAAGGAGGTGCAATATTTTTTTATAAGGCACACATGACTTTAGGCCATTCTCAGACTCCCTATGTAGCTGAGTTATGCCTTGATTTCTTTTTTTTAAGTGTGTGTGTGTGGTGTGTGTGTGTGTGTGTGTGTGTGTGTGGGTGTGTGTGTGTGTGTTTATCTGTGAGTTTGAATGCAGGTGTACCTATGAAGGTCAGACGACAAGTTTCAGGAGACACACACACACACACACACACACACACACACACCACACTTTGTTGAGGCAGGGTTCCTCTCGAGGCAGGGTCTGCTTCTCTGAGTATTCCAGGCCGACTGGTGCTTCCAGATGGCTTACCTGCCTTCCCCTCCCATCTTGCTATCAGAGCGGTGGAATCGGCAGACACGTGCTACCGCATCCCCCTTTTTACACGGTTCTGGAGACTGAACTTGGGCTCTTAAGCTTGTGAGGCAAGCATTTGTACCCACTAGGCCATCTTCCCAGCCGTACCTTGAGTTCTCAAGCTCTTGCCTCTACCTCCCCACGCTGGGAATGCAGGCGTGAGTCCCCAGGGCCCGCGTTAGATATACTTTTAGTGTCCAGACTACAGCAGTTCATTTCTCCAGGACATATGCCACTGCCACTACGGGACCATGACAGCAGCTGGGGGAGAGGGTGGACAAAGCCGGAGCTGGGGCCTTAGAGACAGCTCAGCAGGTAAAGGGCTTGCTGCCCAGTCCAATGCCTGGGCCCCACATGGTAGGAGGTTTTCACCAACTCTGGCAACCCTCCCCCTCCTCCACACAAATAAATACATTTTAAAAGCCAGGA